ACTGTCTGTGATGATGGTTGGGACAATGATGATGCTGCAGTTGTATGTAGGCAACTGGGCCTTGGAACAAGTTAGTCAATGATTCTTAAGCATGCAATGCATTTACAGTATCATGTATAGATGGTGTTTCATATAGCCGTGCCTATTATGGTTCTGGTACTGGTCTTATTGTAATGGATGATGTGCATTGTGATGGAACTGAGCAAGCACTTGTCAACTGTCAACATACTGGTGATCATAATTGCAATCACAATGAAGATGCTGGAGTTAGGTGTATAGTAAACAGCATCTCCACAAGTGGTTAGTTTATTTTTTGAGGATTGGCTCTAATATTTTATGTTTAGCTTATTTCACTTCAACAGCAATCACACCAACTGCATCTCCTATCAACAGTAAGTCTGCCATAAATATATGGTATAGTTTTCTAATGCTTCTTTCTAAATTATAGACTGTACTTATGGTAATATTCGTCTTGTTGGTGGATCTAATGCTACTGAAGGAAGAGTTGAAGTGTGTATTAATGGAGCATAGGGTACTGTCTGTGATGATGACTGGAGTGTTTCTAATGCTAGAGTTGTATGTAGGCAACTTGGTTTTGGATCAAGTTAGTTTGTATAAAATTATTATTATAACTATTATTGTACATACATGTAGATGGTACTCCATATAGTAATGCTTATTATGGTTCTGGTACTGGTCTTATTGTAATGGATGATGTACGCTGTGATGGAACCGAGGAAGCACTTGTCAACTGTCAACATACTTCTTATCATAATTGTGATCATACTGAAGATGCTGGAGTTAAGTGTATCATAAACAGCACCTCTACAAGTGGTTAGTACCAAAACTTACTAACATATACATTTAGATTTAGCACATTTCATTAGATTGCATAGACAAATTGCATTTCCTATGTGATTTATTTCCCTAAGATGTCATATAAATATCTAAATTTTATATTAACAATGTACTTTGAAGTGAAGGACAAATTTTTAACATTGATAACATGCGATCTTGTTGTAAACCCAATTTGAGATTGTTATTCATTCATGTAATTTCTGCTGCTTATCCCACTTCAGCAATTATTACACCAACTCCATCTCATATCAACAATAAGTCTATCATAGATATATTTATATGGTATAACATTCTGCTTCTTTCTAATTTAATACAGACTGTACTTATGGTAGCATTCATCTTGTTGGGGGATCTAATGCTACTGAAGGAAGAGTTGAAGTGTGTATTAATGGAGTATGGGGTACTGTCTGTGATGATTTCTGGGGACCTCCTGATGCTGCAGTTGTTTGTAGGCAGTTAGGAATTGATGGAGGTATTAATATCAAACATTGTTTTATCATAAACAATAATTAATAGATTCTATTGCTCGTACTAATGCTTATTTTGGTGCTGGTACTGGTCCTATTAACATGGACAATGTTCAGTGTACTGGAAATGAAGGATTCCTTGTCAACTGTACTTACTTATCTATTCATAACTGTTTCAATTCTGAAGATGCTGGTGTTTCTTGTGGCATACAACCATCCTGTAATTATAGTGACATTCGTCTTGTTGGTGGATCTAATGATAATGAAGGAAGAGTTGAAGTTTGCCTATTTGGATCATGGAGTACTGTCTGTGATGATTCTTGGGGACCTCCTCATGCTGCAGTTGTGTGCAGGCAGTTAGGAATCAATGGAAGTATGAATGTTAAACATTACTTTATCATAAACATTAATTAATAGGTTCTATTGCTTATGCTGAAGCGTATTTTGGTGCTGGTACTGGTCCTATTAACATGGGCAATGTTCAGTGTACTGGAAATGAAGAACTCCTCATCAGCTGCAGATTTTCATCAAATCATTATTGCAGTCATTCTTCTGATGCTGGTGTTGCTTGTGGTGCAACTCCTCGGTGTAACTACTCAGACATTCATCTTGTTGGTGGATCTAATGATAATGAAGGAAGAGTTGAAGTGTGTATTAATGGAGCATGGGGTACTGTCTGTGATGATAGTTGGGACAATGATGATGCTGTTGTTGTGTGCAGCCAATTAGGAATTGATGGAGGTAATTACTGGTATTAAAAACATTTGATTAAAAAATTAATATTTTTAGTTGCTGTTGCTCGTACTAATGCTTATTTTGGTGCTGGTACTGGTCCTATTAACATGGACAATGTTCAGTGTACTGGAAATGAAAGATTACTTGTCAACTGTACTTACTTATCTACTCATGACTGTGGCCATTCTGAAGATGCTGGTGTTACTTGTGGTGCCACTCCTCAGTGTAATGATACTGATATTCGTCTTGCTAATGGATCTAATGATAATGAAGGAAGAGTTGAAATGTGTATTGATGATCGTTGGTTGACACTCTGTAGCTCTACTTGGACGGTCTATGAAGCTGCTCTTGTTTGCAAACAACTTGGAATTAATGGAGGTAAGTGAAATAATATGGCACATGCGTGTAAATTACTGAAAGTAGTTTCTGTACCTCGCTCTAGCACATACTTTAGTTCTAGTACTGTTCCTAGTGATCATTTAGTACATCTATTCTGTGCTGGAAATGAAGACAATTTTACTCAATGCACTACTGGATTGATACCATATTGGCTTTGTGTACATTTCTATGGTTCTTTCAATGTTGGTGTTACTTGTGATGCACAACCTGAATGCAATAACACTGACATTCGCCTTGTTGGTGGGTCTAATGATAATGAAGGAAGAGTTGAAGTGTGTAGTAATGGAACATGGGGTACTATTTGTGGCAGTAGTTGGGACAATGATGATGCTATTGTTGTATGTAGGCAACTGGGTCTAGAATCAAGTTAGCTAATCATATTTATAAACATTTATAAATGCTTTTTATAGCTGGCATACATAAGATTGGATACTTTGGCTCTGGATCAAGCAGTATTGTAATGGCTAATGTACAATGTAATGGGACTGAAGACCTATTAGTTAATTGTCTCCA